TCTACGTACAACCATATGCCGATCATGTCATACCGAGGCGCTCACCTTGCGAAGACTGGACGCGTCCTAATACTCGCATCTACATTGAATGCATATACAGGGTGTGACTATGAATCACTGATGGGACGTTTCTGACAGACTACACTCTGAGAGTCACAGTGATCGTTGACAGATGTCCAAGCATCATTTCTCATAGAGGTGTACAGCACTCTTAGTCTCATCTCTTCTTCAAGCATCTCAGTAGCTGGCCAGCTTTAGGTTTGTTGGGAGGATATATATTCACGGAGCAGATATGATTCACGTGACGTTTCTCTGGGCAGAGGACACACTATCACACCACACATCTCAAGATCAACTGGTGACACTCATTGAGTGAGTGACAATGCGAGTAGTGATCTTGTAGTGTGAGTAACGAAAATCATACGGACAAGATATAGTCTAGAGCACTAACGATCACAACTGAGTAGATCTACACTTGTATCTCTCAAGAGTGACACAAGATGGCGGAGTGACACGCCTGTATACGACAACACAGTGGGGTGTGCTGAGCACGAGACAATATCTTAGTGTGTGATATCTGTACTCTCTGATGAACTGTGTGTAGATACATCACACAGGGCACTCTTTGGAATCTCTATGCGAGTATAGTTAGATTACACTAGATACTTAGTGCGCACACATCTAGGTGCAACGTGATAGCGTATCTGACATAGCACTCTAGTAGATCATACGGTGAGATGCGTTGCTTTTGACCTTTATGATTTTTGTCTTATTGGTGACTTTAGAGTTTCTATTCAGACAGAGTGAGTGTAGAGTAGATAGCAGGTCGACAAAGGGCTTACAATGTGTCAAGAGAGTCAGACAGGAGACACGCAGAGAGCGTGAGAGGTGTTGATTCTTCAAGTGAGGACGATCGCGTAGCACATAAGGATAGGGAGAGTGACGCTAGGGACAGTTGGTCAGGTAGGAAGACTGCAGTTGATGATGTCGGACTACAGCACGACAACAGTAACGCGAGAGGGTGAGTGTCTGTAACACAGTGTCTCTAGAGGCAGTCTTTTCCAACGGTACCAGAGATCTATCAGGGGCACGCCGAGATCAACTTATCTTGGATACACGTGCGAGCGAGAAGCTATTCTCGATAGAGTACACATCAACGTGTGGTGCCTGTCTTACATAGCGTGTGGGGACTTTCTTAGACTAGGTCTAGCAAGAGGATTTAATGTAGAGAGGGTAGGGAACAAAATGCGGGGCTATTTAGAGAAGGGGGTCTTCTCAACACACTATCATGACGAACTAGTCTAAGAACAGACAGACTTAGGAGGAGACAGGACACGTCAGAGTACTAGTGACTGGACAGCGAAGGTCTTCACCTACGTCAGTTGTCATTCGTTAATGGCTAGTAGTAATTTAGTATATCATGCGTCTATACGTGATATCGTGGAATGGGTGACACATCTCTGGTTGGGCGGTCTATCAGGATTACACACGAAAGGTGTGGAGTACTAGTACGAGTGTGGGGTACGTGATGGCACACGACATTAGGTGTCTATATAGCGTGAGTGACGGTGCCTACGACAATGTGGGGCGCGCAACGAGCGACTGTGGTCTGGAGAGGGGTGATCACACGAAAGGCCGAGAAACTCAGTGAGTGAGGATGATGTGGATTTGGAATAGTATGTCATCTACAATAGAGCAGAGACGGTTGTATTCATATGGGACGACAGCGGCACCTAGTTTTATGAGACATAAAACACGTGTTCACTGTGGAACAGAGAACTTTAGTATACAGGTACCTCGGACGTTAGGCGAGTAGTCTAGGACGTCTCTTCAACAGTGAGTGCATGAACACATGGCAATGAGGCGGCACGACAAGTGAGAGTGTGAAGATCAAATGGGTATGGTTTCACCGTGATCACACGGGATACGTGGGTACGAGTGTGATGACGTGACGAACTGGCATGATAGGTACTGGTGGCCTCATACATTATCGGTGAGTGCAGAGATGGGGTAGTCACAAGAGGGATAGGTGGTGATGGGATTGAGCGATTCGAGTGTGTTAGACAGACAACAGTCTATGCGGATAGAGTTGGAGCGCAGTGCATAGAGTGGAGGTGAATCACTTAGATGTCCTAACATGACAGGCAACACATAATATCTAAGACAAAAGGACTTCTTGAGATGAGATGAGGAGAGTGTTGGGGTAGATGTGATATTCACAGAGAGGCGAGATATGTGCACTAGTCTATACGGGTGATTAGGAGTGTTGACAGTGAGGGGTGCAGTGGACACATGGAGGATAGCACGAGGAGATAGGGTGTACTGAGACAGGGACTCTATCGGGATTGTCAAGTATGGACGTGTTGGCGATACTACTATTGCGGTGAGAGACTGTGTATCTATCTCACGAGTGCGTGACACTGGTAGTGAGTGTGCGTGATACGGAGGTATTATAGTTCTATACAGCAGTGAAGTAGATTTACAACTAGGAGAGTAGTGCAGTGTGTTCAGCTTGTGGGTGTAAGGATTGTGGTTTGGGGTATGGGAGTTTTTGGGCATCACTAGCGGTACATCGGTGAGAGTGTACAGAGACACAGGGAGCGTCACAAGATTACACTTACTAGTGGAGAGAGGAACAAGGGGTGATCTGCGTTCACTGTGATGGATGCATCACGTCTGGAGACACATAGAGTGTGGGCATCTATGCACTAGCACAGTGACAGTAGAGGTGGATTCAGCGATCATCATTTCTATGGTGAGTGATAATAGCTGGGGCAACACTCTTAGTGTATAGGTTGAGGATGACATCATGAGCGGGACACACTTCTACATCGTGACATACAGGGATAGGATACGGGCACATAATGCGGTATATTACGATAAATGTTGTACAGAGATTAGGTGTAACATATAGAGAACTGATTAACACTTATATGATGTTGAGGATGGGTATATGAGAGGAGATACTATGTGGTTATACGAGTGGGAGACAAGGAAACCGTCTGGATCAAAGACAAAGTCTCAGAGAACAAGGTAGGTGACGATTTGAACTTAGGGGGGATCTATATTGGTTGGGGAGTACATATGGAGAGATGATGACATCTGGGTACATTATACCAGAAGTAGGACAGAGTGGTGTGGAGACACTAGAGTTGTATTGAGTGAGAGAGGAGGGGATATATGGAGAGAGTGTCTCTCTCTGTGAAGAGGTTTCTGCGTCGGAGGAGGGGTTTCTGAGGGTTCATCATTGTGTGTGGTGAGGTAGCACACGGGAGAGTATGAGATAGTGTGTATATATACAGTGAGGGGGTGCATGTCAGACAAGACTCAGATAGAGCAAGCTGTCACAGAGAAAGTCGATGTGGGGAGTTATTATCTTGTGCTCATGTACGATGATCATGAGAGACATATGACGTACCTCTTTTTAGATTAGAGCACTTCTGAATGGTAGTGAGGGGTGACATCTCTCTCATACACGGTCACAGTTTAGCAGTCTACGATCGATAGGTATTAACACACACTGGACTGTGTATTCTTTTATAGATGGTTCTTGCGTCACCAGTCAGGGGACAGGTTAGAGACAGTGATTCGTACGACTACGCGTAGAGACACTGTACTTCTGACTTATGGGCACACTTAGATTGGAGAGAGAGTGAGAGTATAGAGGAACAGGCGTTGCTGGGTATATACCAGACATGTAAGAGCACACTGATGATAGATAGTACAGTGACGGGAGAGTGTGAGAGGAGAGGAGACAAGAGGAGACTTAGTGTATGGTTATTAGGGTATTATAGCATAGGAGGGTGAGACAAGGTAACTACACATATACAGGAGGCGTGACTTCTACTCTGTATACTGTTTACATCTCTCTCTCTATCTTTCTCTCTAGTCTATATCTTTTCTATATATAGGGTCTCTACTCTCTGATATATCTCTATATATAGAGTCTATCTCTATTTATATCCTATATCTGGCTGGCGTAATATCTCCTCTCTATAGGTTTCTACTAGATCTCTCTCTGTCTCATACTGCTTATTCTCTATCTATAGTCTGATATAATATCTTATAGAGGTTTTGTGGGTGTGTATTAAGGGTTATGAACATGAGTCTGTGATTAAGAGGTTTGTTTTGTGCGGCTCACAGATAGGTTGTGCTTACATAGTATTGGAGGTCAGGTGTGAGCGTGAGGCGCTTGACACACACACACACAGAGGTCACAATGGTGGTAGTGCAGATGGCACACAAATATATGTGAGTACATGACAGTAGTTGATTTTAATTGTACGGATAGCACTGAGTGGTACAAGACACAGAGATGGGAGAGGGTAGTATGTCGTTAAGTAGGAAGGGCAGTGAGTATGTGTGAGAGTGGGATACGATAGACTTACTCATCGATGGTAGTTCTCTGTCCATCTAATGAGAGGTCAGGACAGTGTTCTGGATGACGAGTGTATGTGCAGTCTGTGGATGGGTACTCCTAAGCAATGGAGAGAGAAGAACACACATTATATGACAGGTTGACGCTAGTGTAGCAAGAGTAGCTAGGGAGTTTGTCAGTGGGGTATCTACTATGACTCTAGGGCCTCTATTATATTGGGAGCACATACTACTCTACTTCGAGAGGAAACCTGGGATGAAGCGACAGTAGATTCTTAATATAGAGGAACACGAGCGAGTTGTGGACGTGACACAGAGTTAGGATGTAGCTATAGTCTGAGTAGGTGGGGATGACGCATACTAAGCACGACGTACACACAATCTTAGTCTCGAGTAAGGGTGAGGTGATCGTGCAGAGATTCCACGAATGGTATACAATGGAGCAGTTGCAGAATGGAGTGGATGAGACTGACGGGGTTTGGTTAAAGGGGGTGTGGGATGGGTAAAGTGAATATGGGAGGGGGTGTAGTAGATGAATTTGAATAGAGGAGGGAGGGGGGAGGGAGGTGGGGGAGGGGTAGTGTTGAAGTATTGGTAGGTAAGGAGGGGGGGGATGTTTATGGATGTGGGAGGTAAGGAGTGTAAAAGGGAGGGTTAGTGGGGGGAAGGGAAGGGAGGGTGGGGGGGGGGGGGGGGGGGGGGGGGGGGTGGGGGGGGGGGGGGTGGGAGGGGGGGGGGGGGGTGGGGGGTGGGGGGGGGGGGGGGTGGGGGTGGGGGGTGGGGGGGGGGGGGGGGGTGGGGTGAGGGGGGGGGGGGGGGGTTGTGGGGGGGGGGGGTTTGGGGGTGGGGGGGGGTGGTGGGTGGGTGGGGGGGTGGGGGGGTGTGGGGGGTGGGTGGGGGGGAGTGGGGGGTGGGTGGGGGGGGTGGGGGTGGGGGGGGGGGGTGGGTGGGGGGGGGGTTGGGGGTGGGGGGGGGGGGGGGGAGGGGGGGGGTTGTGGGGGTGGGGGGGGGGGGGGGTGGGGGGGGGTGGGATGGGGAGGGGTAGGTTAGGGGGGGGGGAGGATTTGGGTGGGGTTGTAAGGGGGGTGGGGAAGAGGGAGGTATAGGGATGGGGGGGGTGGGGGGGGGGGGAGGGGGGTGGGGGGGGGGTTGGTGTGGGGGGGGGGGGGGGGGGGGGGGGTGGTGGGGGGGTGGGGGGGAGGGGGGGGGGGGGGGGTGGGATATGGGTGGGGGGTGGTGGGGGGGGGGGTGAAGTAGGGGTGGGGGGGTGGTGGGTGGGGGTGGGGGTTGGGGGGGGGGATGGTGGGAGGGGGGGTGGGTTGGGGGGTTAGATGGTGTGGGTGGGGGGGGTGAGTTGGGGGTAGGGGTGGGGGTTTTATGGGTGGTGTGGTGTTGGGGGGGGGGGGATGGGGGGGGGTTGTTTTGGGGGGGGGGGGGGGGGGGGGGGGGGGGGGGGGGGGGGGGGGGGGGGGGGGGGGGGGGGGGGGGGGGGGGGGGGGGGGGGGGGGGGGGGGGGGGGGGGGGGGGGGGGGTGGGGGGGGGGGGGGGGGGGGGGGGGGGGGGGGGGGGGGGGGGGGGGGGGGGGGGGTGGGGGGGGGGGGGGGGGGTTTGTTGGGAGAAGTGTGTGTGAGGCTGATGAGTATTAAATAGATTGTTATGGGTAAGTGCATGATAT